GTACACCCTTTTTGTGATTGCCTTTTCCCCTTTTTTTACCCCAAGTCTCGAGATTTTGTTTTGTTTGTTTTTCGTAATCGTGTTTAATTTACAACAGCTCGTTTGGACTCTCACTTTTAGTTCCATTATATATATTTTTTATTCGGTAAAATAACTAAATTGCTTTGTCGGTCCAATATCTGAACACATCAACCACTTCCCATATCCATATAGAACTTACTTAAACCAAACTCATTGTAATAACACGTTTGTGAAACGATGATGTTACAAATTTTAAGTATATACACAGCTGTCATTTTTTCCCAATAGCTAAAAGGCAAACAAAGGATAAGCCGAGCCTAAGATTTGTAGCCGCAGAATTTTTTTTACGAGCCCGATCAAACTTTTGAAACCGCAGAGTAAAAAAAGAAAAAAGAACACGTTTAAAAAAAAAAAAAAGGCGGTTCGCAAATCCTTAGATACGCTGAAAGAAATTCAAAAGGCCCATTGAAGCGGCAACGTGCGCTAATTAACGTCATCGTTACAAGCTCGGTGAGTTGAAAACGGCCTTCGTAGGCCAAGTGCAACAGCTGCTCGGATGGCCCAGACCATCGATCGAATTTCGCTTAGTATTCAAGCCCCTAAAGGTGGGAACACTAGCCACTTACATCCCGCCTGCTTCTCTCGCTAATTAACATAAAGTTTCAGATATATTTTTGTTTTTGCCCAACTTCGTACCGTGGGTGTTTAAGAATACGGCAAGTACTGTCCGCTTAAAATAAAACGACTTGTGTCTCAGATCCTCGCCGATCGCATCTGCGGATGTCACTGTTTCTTGAAACAAACAAAAACTCTGCTACGATTTTAATGGCCCAGAGGCGCGAGCATGAGACTTCCGCGAGTGAATTCTGATATGGTACCTGGAAGCCTTGCCGGTTTTAATGCAGCAGTAAGGAGTTTTGAATTGAACGGTGTATTGGCCTAAAGTGCCAATGCATTGTTGCTCATCTACTGTTGGTTGATTAATGGTCCCATGAAAATAACTTTTCAATCAAAATTTGACAACACTATTATCACAGGAACGAAATTCTAGGCTCGGGAGCGCCAAGACATCGCAACGTTCGCTGCTCTTTGAAGTGCGATGATTCGCGCAGGCCAAGCGCCTATCTAAGCTTTGACGACGACAGAGTAGCCATCGCTGCTCTCCGAACATAGGTGACACCGGACGTCGTTTTGCCTTTTATGGCAGCGTTCTCGGCTGCTGAATTCGATGAACAATAAGACGGTCGTCCGAAGCAGCCCAGCTGTCTTAGCCCAAGGACGTGCCTCTCCTTCTTCTGTAATGGTACGCAAGGCGCGCTCCTGCTTGCCGCTAGCCTCCAAACTAAGAGGCTTGTTCACCCATACACCGAAGCGCCAAATTATCGCCATAGGTAATGCGCTAACACTTTGCTAAATTAGCGCCCTATCAGCACTCCGGTGCATGCCACCTCTCTTTTTGTCTGCCCACGCGCACAACGCAACGCGCACTCAGCGTTGCTGTAGCGTTGACGCTGCGTTTTTTCAGCACTGAGATCCATGTGTGAAACGCCTCGACAGACCCTTCGAGTTTCTTTTCCTGCAAGCTCATATTTGCAATAATTTTCAAAGCGATTTGAAAAAGGTTTCCTTACACCCGTCTTTCTTTGAATACCTTTTCACACGTAACAGGAGCGATACACCAGCAACGCTATTGGTCAGGGCTGGAAATAATGCTGACCTTGCGTATGCCGCGTTCCATTGGGGCTTCATTAGTGATACACCCTGATACGGCAATATCTGAGTGCTGAGTTACGTTCAAGCCAACGCTGCATTAGCCACTGCTTACAACTCAGCGACGTAATGTACCGTGTTTTCTGGACTACGAGGAGCGCAAGAGTCGTCTGCTTCTTCTGCGGGGGTTGTGGTGACGTCAGAACGCCGAGCTCCGATTGGTTCTGAATGAAGGATAGTGGATAGGCCTCAAAGTAGGCTGCCTTGAGGTCTACCCACTACCCTTCAATCAGAGCCAACCAGAGCTCCGCGTCTTTGTGACGTCACCACAACTCCTACGAACGAAGCAGACGACTTGCTTTACGCCTAACTCGCACCCGGTGTTCGGTCTGAAAAAATGAATTTCGGTTGAAAATAAAAAGAAAAGTTTTCTTTGATAGTCCGCACTTGGTGCCCAAATCGAACGTAAAGGAAGAAACAAATTCACAAAAATCGTCACGTCTCGTCAAAATTAACCAATCGAAGCAAAAAAATACTTGTATTGTTCGCCACCTGTAGATGATGCGACCGTAAGGGCTGACACATTTGGCGCGCCTTGCAAAATTCTAATTTCAAACGTACGTACCTGAAATTGGGCACGCGAACGTAGTTTTGCAAGAAGGTTTACGTATATTTTGTAGAGCTCTTTTTCTGAGGTTGTGCAATATCAAAAATAAAGCACAATCTGAGATTGTTTATTTCCAATATACTAAATGTCAGGTGGTTCTCATTTGAACACGTTCGCATTCCTACCTTCTCCTTTTCACCTTCTCATTTCAACCCAGGGAAAAACAAATTTCGCTTTTTTCCCTTTCTCACTTAAACCGTTCTCAAAACACACTTTCGGGTTTTGATCATTCTCGAAACTATTTTTTTTTTTTTCATTTTAACCTTTCTTTTTTCAAACTTCTGAAAACATACCTTCTGGTTTTGACCATTCTCGAAGATACTTTTTTTTCATTTTAACTTTTCTCCATTTCAAACTTACTAAAAACATACTTACTTGTTTTACCACTCTCAAAACGACTCTTTTTTTAATTTTAACCGTGTACGTTATCAGGCTAGGGAAAAACAATAATTTTCGGCATACACTCACAGAAAACCGAAATGAAGGAACCAGTGCGATTATGAAGTCTAGGCACCTGAACCTTTATTGCGCCTTGAAATCAGGGCTGGGCGTCGATTAAAACGTTTAACCCGATTACCGCCACTCTTTAATCGATTAATTAAGTGATTAATCGGCCTCGTTCGTTTTCATACAAAAAAAATAAAAAAAAACATTGTTTTTGTTTTTCTTGAATTTCTGACAAACGGCGGAATATACCATTTCGATTTCTAATCAGCCTCCATGTGCAGTTCAGAACAGTTGAAAGACACTCACAGTCATAGGTTATTACTTCAGCTGCATAAGGAAACGAAGTTCGTTGATACTCTCCGGCAGGATCGACCTCCCTTGATTGCTCACAATAGCCTCTGAACAGACACTCGAATGGCGTTGACATAGATGGGACACGTTTAACCTACTGTAATTGTCGGGAGTTACAAATCTCGCCCCCACAGTTTACTTAAGGCTAAAATTTAGCCTAAAGTTTCCCCCACATACACGTGTACTCGTCCACGTCTGCGTGGTGATAGCGCTGAGTTTTTACCTTTTTAGGTTCGTCAAAATTTTACCGATTAACCGATTAAAAAAATTAATCGCGATTAAATCATTAGTTCATTAATCGATAGGTTACTCGATAAATTTCCCAGCCCTACTTGAAATGCATCTTGGAGATTGACATCTAGAGCTCAAGCCAATGCATGGCTTGATGGACGACACATAGGCAAATATACAATGATCGTAGATCTGTAGGACCAGTCCGACACCGGTTGTAAATAATTCTACATCCTCACAGGGCATGCCGGATGAGCATAATTTGCATCCGATGAATCACGGATGAATTGAAGAAAAAGCTGTGCCTGGTACGAAAGCCCTCAAGCCACGCAACATCCGAACCCGTACATTAAAAAAAAAAAAAAAAAAAACGCCGCTGCTTTTAACGCTTGTTTGCATCTTAACGCGTTATGACGTGCACACCCCCGGCATTGGAACAATGAACAGCACCCAGCGTAGACGTGCTCATCTCAAATAGTATGCATATAATACTCGCATTCTCGACGTAACCACCGAACCCGAATTAATCCAACATCATGATCTCGGAATCTTTCTGCAGTACTTACAAGCAATAACACATGACGAGCACAATCACCCATCGATTCCACAAGACGACAAATTAACGACATCGGCAGTGCCAGAGGAGAAATTAAATACCGAAACAGAACTAGCACCTTTGAAACCATGTCACCACGTCACCATGTGCCCAGGTAGCTACGTCAACGGACTCGGGGCAGAACGCAGGCATAAGAAAAATTATGTCATGGGCTATGCAAGATATGGTGCCACTTTGCAGCATCTATGTACCACCTTCGCTTCGTCTTTCACCTTTATCCTCAACTGTTCCTCCTTCCTTCTGTACCTCACTGCCCTTTGTTTTGAGCAGGTTGTTCAAATACGGTGTTCGAATGAGAACGGGTTCAAATGAAAAAGGGTCGAAACGCGAAAGGTTAAAACGCGAAGGGCGTTTCGCGAATAGGCTCATACGAGAAAGGTTCAAATCGGAATGAGTTATTTCAAGATACACCCCCTGTGACAGCCTGTTAGTCGTCTACACACTGGTCTATGAGCTCGCTTCCGGGTGGCTCGCTGAACGTAAAAACGCCAAGACCTAATGGCAGAGTCTGACGATGAGCAAGATAATCGCGATAATTAACACCTTTAACGAATAATACAAACAATGACCACCTGGGGGCAAGCTTACAAACCAGCGGGCCAGACGAGGAACACCCGCTGTAGGGCATAGTAGAGGAACCGCCGCCGTTTTTGCTCTATTTTGGAATATCTTACCCCCTCTGACTCGAGCTTTAAAAAGTAAAAATAGCCATGCATCTTCTTGCCAAACTACGTTCGCTTATCCAATATCAGGTAAGTGCGTTTAAATTACAAATTTTTGGAAAGCGCGCCTAACGTGTTAGTCTTACGACGGCCCCTATTGATAGTCCACACTGTGTAAAATTTTAAATTTGAAACATCGATAGTCCGTGTACTGTTTTCCGGAACATACTGTATGTTAAAAATTACCTTTAATTGAAATGAGTGCTTTCGGGGGTAGAGGAAAGAAAGAACTTACCGTAGAGCTTAATGGTGCCTTCCGTCTCGCCGAGGGAGTTCTTGGCGACACAGTGGTACTCGCCGAAGTCTTCAGGCTTGAGCCTCCTGACGACGAGCTGCATCTGGACCTTGTACATGGCGTGCTGAACGGTGAGCACCGAGTACTTGGCGTTCTGGTGGATGATGGTGTCTGTGTTACGGGTCCAGTACGTCACCGACTTGGGGTGAGACTCCAGGTTGCAGTCCAGCGTCACGTCCGTCTCCACGCTCGCGCCCACCAGCTGGTTCGGGATCCAGATCATCGGGGCGACTGCGGACAGCGAACGACCCTCCCTATAACACCCCGATGCGTCGACGACATTACCAAGCATAAAAAAAAACGGCTGAGGGTGTTACATAAAGGACACGTTTATTTCGGGGAGGATTATCTTGAACCCTCCGGCAAAAACCAAAAATTGAATTAAAATAAATTAAGACTCTTTTTGTTTATTGGGGAGAAATAATTTGTACATAATGCACAGGCACGAATAGGTCTACTGCCCCGTTTTACGTAAAGAGCGATCTTATCTCACATAAAGAGCGAACTGAAGTCACATAAAACGCAAGCTTATTTTGGGTAATTATGCTAAATTGAAGCTTCCACCAAATGCCTCACTTGAATTGCATTAATTGTGTTTAAAGTGAAAACAAAGTATTCTCAGATATTGCACGAGCACGAGCAGGGATTTAAAGTCCGTTTCACATCAAGAGTAGAATTATTTTGGGGGATTATACAATATTAGACCTTCCAGCAAGAAGCCACAATTGAGTTGGGTTGTATACAAATTTTTCATTGTTGTTTTTTCATTGAGGAAACATCGTGCGCCTGCATGTTATACGGACCAGAGTACACCTATACTGTTGAATGGTCAGCTGAAACAAACAAAGAAAGAACGAAAACAAACAAAAAAGATGCTTTGTCCTGTTCCATTCTTTCTTCGTTCGCTTAGGTAAGTTTAATCTGGCGTTTCATTAATACGAGCCAAGTAGCCCAACTAAACCCTGTAACGAAAGCTATCACACGTCGTTTTCCCGTCATAAGAAATGGTCGACTAACAAAATGCAATGGCGCTAGTGGGCTGATGAAAGTAACACACAATAAAAGGCACCCTAGACTGGGGCTACTCGTTATAGAACGAAACAAACACAAAGACGTACCAAATACGCCGGTACGGTTGTGCCGTCCTCTAAGTAATTTTAATTTCGGGTGCCTTTCTCCGTGTTCAGCACCAGTCTATATAGCTGAAGGTTCGATGTCGGTGACGACCGGCGAGGCTCTGCCTTTCCGTCTCCGACGGACAACGTCAAGCGTTAGAAAACGTCCAGTTGGAAAGCACAAAATTCACTGTACGGACGAAGTATCTGCAGGCTTCGTCAAAACTTAGAAAGCGAAATGTTGACATTCTTGTGTTTGGAACAATTTAAGCTGCGGTTATCCAATTTTCAGCGAGCTAATAGGTAATTTTTATTCTCTCACTATTAGTACATATTTTTCTTAGTTCAGCTCAACAAGCGGCGAATGTAGCTTACAACATATTTGTAAGCTTTTGGTCTCGAAACCACCAATGATGCGCGTGGTGATTAAAAAAAAAAGATGAAAGTGTTTCAAAGCGTGCAGAACTTCATAGATATGTCTCAAAAGTTACTGAACTTCCACGTTGAAGTAACAAAGATGATGGTATATGAAATTACAATACTAAATAAAATTCAAGTTATTATTCCTCTCTTACACCTTCCTAATTTTATTTTAGGCATAAGCGTTTGATTATATTTTATAAAACTGGAATATTCCTGAGTTTATTAAGCATTTCTTTTTATTCATTGAATGAAGTTACACGCGTATTTTACACAGCTGGAGTAGTGTGTTAAAAATAGCTTCCCTCTTTTTCGTTAAAACATGTTTCCGCATCCGGTATTATATTCTTTCATCCGGCGTACTCTCCGCATACTGCATTCGTGCTTGTTTGCAACAGCTATACATGTGCTTAGTTTGCTAGAGCAAATACGTTTCCGTTTTTGACGAGATGAACAACACACAACCAAAACAACCGAAGGTTCAGACATGTTCACAAGGGGGGAAAGTCTGTATAGGAAGAACTGAGCTTTCGCTGTCTGACCGAGCGTAGCGAGGCAGTCTTCCGTTTAAGTGGTCAATGCCCTCGGAAGAAAGGATTCAAGATAAATCGTCCAATCAACGTCGACCCAACAGAAACTGAACAACGGAAATAAAGCTCTGGGGAATGACATCGTCGCGTACATACATGCAGAGAGAGAGAGAGAGACTATGAGGCGACATCGAGGGGACTAATCTCCCCTGATATTTGCCTGCCCGCGTAGAAGCAAAAGGAACAAAAGAACTCGGCGAAAGCAGTCGTCAGTGCCGCGTTCTATTGAGGGCAATCCAGGCTCACAGTCGAGGCGTCCCACTGCTCCCCCCCCCCCCCCTCCCCGTTCCAAATTGCGCGCAGAAACCCCTTCCTCGTACGCAGGCGCACGATGTCTCGAGATGATAGTCTCGTCATCTCCGCGCGCATACAACCAACGCGCGCCTGCGACTCAAAGTGAGCGCTTGAATGGAAGCCTCCCCTGATCCCCCTTTCCCTCCGAGATATGAGGAGGCGGCTCAAGTTCGCCCGAGATTTTTAAGTGTCACTATCGCGAACAAGGAAGAATATAACGCCGCTGCCTTTTCTCCCCCAAATCCCTGTCGTTCTGAAAAGTACCGCGTGCAAATTCTCCAGCACCCGAAAACGAAACAAAAGAAAAACTATCAAAAGACTCGTAGAAGCGCCTGGAAAGTCGCGCAAGAACAAAAATCCAAAGTTTCCGGACTTGGGCGCAATCCGCGGGGGTCTTAGGTTTATTCGCAGCGAGTGAAGCTCAGTGAGGGCTACGTATCTGCCCATTCCAAAACAACGACTCGATACTCTTTCTCCGAGCGTTGTAAAATGGCCTCCCCCCCCCCCCCCCCCCCCATCCTTGAGAATTTTTCTCGTATTAGCTCCTAACTCAATCAATTTGTTCGCTTCTCTTAGCTACTGACATCTCTTCTCGGCAAACCTGTCGTTTTCATTTTTTTTTCTTCCTTGTATTCTTTTCCCATACGATTTCTATCAGCCGCTTTTACAACCTAGGCGCAAAAGAGACTTCTATTCGCGTGCTTCTACGAAACGCGCGACTATACCATGCGCGTGCGTGTTCGTGATGTTTCAGATGATGCGTTTTCACAAACGGCCCGTATTCAACCGTTTGGTTTCATATCTAAAGAAAGAAAATATGTTGCAGTAGAGTTATTATGCCGCGGCGTTCGCGCCCAAAAAAGTTGTGACCGCGTTGCTAAAGCACATGTTTGTGTGTCTCTTCGATCGTGCCTTCTTTCGAAGAAAGAATTAAATTCAAAAACAAAGGAATTGAGAGAGACAGAGATGGAAAAAAGGAGGAGGGAAAGAGGAGCGCGCGCTTAAAATCTTTATTCGCATGCAGAGCGCGTCCGCCGGAGCCTTATCACGACGGCTTTCGTAAGCGACGAAGGCGCGAAGATGGGCTCGGATTTATACTGGAAACGACTGCAGCGACTGCAGCAACGACCATGCCTTTCCATAGAGCCCGAATACCATTAGGTCTCGGAAAAAAAAAAAAAGAAGATGTACTTGTTCCCAAAAATGCAGGGGAATAAAACCAGTACGTCCCCCGGCAGAAAGCCCGACAGTATACTTTAATTTTCCCAAACTAGAACCCTCGCGTCGGTTCTACTTACACTCTGCGCTTCTTTGTTTCGTGTATTAGTGCGGAGTTGGCTCTATGAATGGGTTAACTGGGTGTAGATAAAGCTTAAACAAAACAGTAAACAAAAATAATCATAATAAAGAAACCTCTCGCATTATCTTTTTGCTCGCAATCTTCTTTTGTCAGCGCAGTGAAGATAAAACAGTGGACTTTGATTTAATCACAAGGCGGAAGGAGGGTGAGCGGTAGGAGCACGTGACTGGGACGAAACCAACAAGGCGTGAAAAACATTTGTTACAATAGAAGTCGTCAATGCGAGGTAGTGGCTGAAAAGAACAACAGCTGAAGCCTGCATCACACGTGTACCCTCCCAGCTGCTCTCTCACTCTCCTTTTCACGGCTCCCCTTACTTTCGGGAGACGCGCATAATGTTTTGCGCGGCGTCTCTCTCAGTTCATTATAGTTATTAATGGGCAATAACATCGACGCCATAACAAAGTTAAATAAAGTTTGATTCGAAAATTAAATAAAAGGTGGGCGAACGCCGCAAGAAAAAGAAAAACAATAACAAAGGAACGTCATAACGACTTCTCACAACGCAGCTCAAAGAACCGGTGCTTTTTCTGCGTCATGTTTTAATACAAAGCTGGCTTAGCAAGAAATTAACGGAACCAAAAAACTGGCCAGGGAGCTACGGCTGATCTCAAAAATAATCCGCTTGCTGCATTCTAAAACATCGTTGCTCTGTCCTCTTTCTTTTTTTTTTTTTCTTGAAGCTCTAGGATTATGACTCTTCACCAGATAGCCTGAGCTATTACCCTTTTTTCGGTACTTATATCAAACGCCTCTAAAATGCCTGCGGGTACACTTTCCCGTAGAATACTGAGGGCTTTAATCAGGGCGGTCTACGAAGAGTTTGATTATTTACGAAGCAAAAAATGTGTGAACACCTCAATCTCAAGTCTCCGATGGGACGACGACCGGGACGTCAGAACGTGAAAAGTTGTCATAATTGAGAGGTTTTTTTTTTTGTTTCTTTTAATTGTCCTAGACGTATCTTTAGGCTTATTATTCGCCAAACTATTTTGTGTAGATGACACTTATTGGCCTTCCGAATGTTCTGAGGAAAAACAGACGCGCATGCACCCTTAAGACTATACATCTGAACGCTTACGTTTTAATTATTGTTTTTATGGGTCAAAATGCCACTCAGGATTGACGGCTGTTGTAATAAACCTATTTCTATATTACCCAAGAATCAAGAAGAATGCAGGGATTGGTGTTCCACGCGCCACATGCGCACGCCTTCCCCGTATAAAAGATTCAAAGCTAATAACCAACATAAGGCGTTTACGAATGCGCGTGCAAGGTGCCATTTGTTTTAGGTATTTCCTGTAGATAAGTTACTACTGCTTACGGCCAGCACCTGCGGCGCGTGGAACACCAACCCCTGCATTCTCCTTGATGCTTGGGTAATATAGCAATAGGTATATTAAAAGCTGAACCAATTTAGGCCGTTTTTCCATAATGAACGGGCTTCTTAGATGTTCATCGATCAGTTCACGCGCTTTTGTAAAATGATTTTGAAGCTGGACGCAGAGAGCGTGTGCCGGAACTACCGTCTATGAGTGATGCGGGGAAGAATGACGTGTACTTGTTTCATGCGCTTCATCATTATCTTGTCAGTCCGACGTCAGCGTATCCGACAGGGTCACGCTGTCGAGATGATAACGCTGTGAAAAAGAAACCACTACGGTCACACTTTTGCGGAGCGTTGAGGGCGGAAGCACAAAGTTCTTTGTCTGCGTTCAGTTTTTGAAATCAAACGGGCTTAGCGAGGCATGAACAGAGTCCCCAAACTGTCCAGGGAGTTACTCACAGCTGATCTCGAGGATTATCCGCTTGCTGACAGAGGGCAGCACGCCGTTGGAGGCGATGCAGAGGTAGGCACTCATGTGCAGGCGTGACACCTTGGTGATGTTCAGCCAGGTTCCCTTCACCGACGACACTGCACACATGGCACAAACAAGTCTCAGCTTAGCGCGAAACCTACAAACATGTGCCAACTGATTCGATCATAAAGAGCTTAGCAATTATATTTAGTCCAAGGTCTCGCACCCTTCTCACATTTTAGTGCTCAAAAACCAAATGCCTTGCTTGCACAGTGAGAGGGACTGTACGGACAAAGCCTTTTCTTTTCTTTTTTTTTTCAATTCTTGTTTACAGGTTTTTAGTGCGGAACGTTCATTAGGTTCCATGGCATAATCAGCGATGCAAGATTGACCAGACAAAATGAAGCTCGCTTTAGATGTTGAGCAGTGAAAAATGTTCTAAAACACCTTTCGCGTGAGCAAAGGTGGTGGATTAATGAACTTACCGCAGAACTTAAAAAAAAACAAGGTAAAATTAAAATTATAATATTTAGGGACAACCTACTCCACCCTTGAACACCCCAGTACGCAGTACAGAATAAATGATCTGTTCCGCGAGGGCAAAAATTAAATGAGTCTTTATTGATTGGTGGACGTTTTGAATCTGTCTCAAGGTTTTTAAAAAAAACTAATTTACCTAGTAAAACTTAGTATCTTATTCTTAAAATTAGATAACAATCAACATAACCATAATTTGGGTGTGTCTTTGGTTTACCGAAAAATACTTAATTCCTCAGCACTTTCATGCTACTCAAGTATTTTGTTTTGTCACAGGGATGCATGAAAAAAAAAACACTCATTACGCATTGCGTTCTAGCTTGTATATTAATATATGCATTCAACGGGGAATCCGTTGAATGCATATATTACGTAAACTCTCGTGATCATTAATTAGTTAAAATTAACCTGGCAGCACATGAGCGAGACTAAGGTGCTGTTTGAACATGATATGCTGGAATATTATCTTAATGAATTGGGAAATTGGTTTAATTTTTTAGACAGCAAATTCCCAGCAAACGCAACTTGTTGCGCCACGTAGGCTGTCGCTGAGACGTAGAATCTGGGCATGTCTGACTCTATCTGACTAAGTTGTGGACGCCGACAAAAACTGTGATAATAATCTGTTTTGAGACCCTCATACCGATTTACCGCTATACCACAATACTTTTTGACCTCATCCCAGTATCAATACAAATAAGAAACACTTGATGTTATCATTCAAACAGAAATATGTTGGCCAGTGATCCATTCGCAAAAACTTAAAATAGGTAATGGCTGCGAGCGGCCATCTTGGAGTTTGCATTTTTTTAATAAAATACTGAGGGATGCTTATTATATATGTATTTTTTAGAAATAACGTGAGATATCAATGTCAACGGTAATACCAGTTCAATGCCATCGTGTACAAGGGCCGCGTGACAAAGAGGATTGCTACAAACGCTTCTTTTGAAAGCAACCAGCAACCAAAATAAACATAAAGCTGCCAAAAAAAAAGCAAATTTGAGAAATGCGGGAGATGTTTTCTATCGCGAAACTTCCAGAAAATGAGATTCTGCACCACATTTTCATATTTGCGAGCGATCCCACCGGCATTGCGCTGAGCCGCTCCAAATTTAATTATTAGCGATGTAACGCTACACTTGTTTTCCAGAAGCAGAAAATGACGCAAAAAGCTTTCTTTCGTTTCGAACAAGCGGCTGTGAATAGGGTCATCGAAGGAAGCAGCGGAGGGTGGGAGTTTTTAATTCAGTTAAACATCCATTAGCATTGAAACCCGACACGAATATGGGCCTTTTTCTTTTTGACTTCCAGCTTACCCCCCGAAATTCGAAACTCTTCATATATAAAGAAGCTTCCCATGCGAGAATATATTTGCTTCAAACCTTTCCTGCTTTTGTTTTTATTCTTTTTTCAATCGAGTTTTATAAGGTCACAAAACCTCTTTAAATAAAAGAAAAGAAAAATCTTGCCGCGAAATACAGAAGCCAATCGGCAAACAGAAGAGTCTCTCTGTACCGATGCATTGGCCTCTCAGATCACCAGCAATTGGGGGAAATGAAAAGAACAAAAGCAGGGGAAAAAAAAAAGACGAATTAAAAGGAATGGTATTGATACGGGAATAGAAGACGGTTAAAAACAAATTGTAAAACTTTGATTTCATTGAAGCAGCCTTAATATAATATAATGTTTGTAACTTGTTCGAAATTGCGTTCCGACGCCTTCTCCTTGAACAGGGACGTAGGGGTGAAGGCGGTGGCAGTGCGGGGAAAAGAGAGGAGGAGGGGTTTACAACGTTGGAAGAGCATTGTTTAAGCGGTTGAGAAAAGCCAGGCAGACGTAACTCAATCTCGCCGGAGAATTCTTTTAGATGATACTTGGCTTTCACGTGGTGACACGCGACACAGTTTTGTTTTGGAAGGAGGGTCACGTGTACTCTGATGGAGTCAGTGACCCACAAGAAGAAAGACATGTTTTTTCTCTTTTCTTTATCATTCCTTTGTTATTCTATTTAAATACACAATCGTTGCCTGTACCTATAGCCGTAAAGGCTAGTCGCAAATCCAACATTAGAAATAACCTTTGCAATGCGGCAGGCAAACAAAACAAATTTACCCACATGTCAAGATTTACACAAAAATATATACATACTAATTGCAAAGTAAAGACAGGAGATCTAAGATTGAACTTATTCATTCGCTTGACAATTAATTAGGTATTTTTTTAAGCATGACAAAAGGTTGGGTTTACATTTTATGTCGGCAGGGATATCATTGTATACTAAGGCACCGTTGAATTCCAATAACTCTTTCGTCATAAACATTTCTACAAGGTGGCAAATTAAACAGATTATTTGTTGCAGCCCTCGTATTCCGTAATGATAATTTAAATATATGTAATAGAAGTGAATCGTTGGTTTTTATTATTTTAAAGACTGTTTCAGCTATTTTTATTTGTATAGAAATTCTAGGGGGGGGGGGGGGGGGGGCAGCACATCAACATATTGAAATGGAGGACTACTTGGTTCAGTATATCTAAAATAAGTAATCAATCTCAAAGCTCTTTTTGTAATCGACTGAGTGGCTCTAAATAGGTGGTATATGTTCCACCCCAAGACTCTATACAGTAGCTCAACTGACTGTACAAATTCAAGGTATAGAATGCTCAGTATAGACGAATTAAAGTACTCCTGAGTCTTTAGCAGTGTACAGCAGCCGTGCGGAAGTTATGTACATATGTTTTTAATTTGATTCTTCCAGTGCATATTAGTTTCAGACAAGACAGCTATATATGTGCAACAGGAAACATGCAGCAACGGCGCGTTACGAAAGTATATAGCAGGTTCTTCAGAATTCCTTTGCTTTCTCCTAGAGTGAAACACAGTGTACTTAGTTTTTTTTAAAGTGTGAGTTGGTTACTAGTGAACCAAGTTAAGACACTAGTAAGTTGTTCATTTACTTTAGCATGTAGTTCATTTTTTATGTCTCCAATAAAAACTAATGCTGTATCATCAGCATACATGAATACTTCAAAGTGACATAAAACAGAAGGAAAGTCATTAACGTAGAGAGAAAAAAGAATAGGCTTCAAATCAAAGCCTTGCGGTACCTTTGTGAGCACTGTTTGTGGTGTAGTAATAAAATTATTAATCGTTACACATTGTGTTCGATTAGAAAGATAACTTTTAAATAACTCTGATGTCTTTCCCCTAAAATAAACTTATGAAGCTTGTTCAATTATATAGTGTGATTAACTGTATCCAAAGCCTTTCTTATATTCAAATTAACAACCACAGAAATCTTATTGTCATGAAGAGCCTTATTAAGAAGCTGGGTTAACACAAGTAGAACGGAAGAGGTAGATCTGTTCGGCCTAAATCCGTGCTGACTAGCGCAGAGAATATCGTATTTACATATACATTCTTAACGTGTTTACAAAGTATTTCTTCAAAAATAGTATTCATTACACTTAATACTGATATTCGTTGATAACTATAGACGGCTCAGAAGTATCTCCCTCTTTAAAAACGGGCACAACCTTTGCTATTTTGAGCTTATCAGGATATATTGCGCTTTCCAATGAATGATTAAACATTCATTGAATATGTTAAAAAAAGTGGCATGATTTTTTTGTTTGTTTTAAGTCTCATTATTCATAAGGAACCATCTGTCATTCTCTACTGAATATATAGAAATATGTAAATGAATATCATTCGTTTTATATGTACATTAGCTGAAGCCATTACCGTACCCTTTGTGCCTGCTAAATCATGTTGAATACAATTGTTACATGTGCTGCAAGGAATATCGCCCCGTCTCCGCCAGCGTGATTGGGGAAAGGGGGGGGGGGCGCCACCATAGTGGGAAAACAAGCAGTTTGAAGGGCAAAGGCACAGCGATTGAAAGGCATGCCAAAACCAAAAAGAAATACTTATATTTATTTATAATAGTTGATAAAACTCTTAAACATTTTAAAGTCTTTCAAGATTTTAGTATGTGTAGGTTTGTGAATGGCGGATATCGTAGCTCGTTTCTATATAGTGCACACAAGGTTAGAGAGAGTTGTTTTTCTTCTTGTTGTTTCGCCGTTTGTTCGTTGTTAGTGTTTTGTTTTCACTGCATTGCCGCGCACGCCCAATGTATACGACACACACCGTTGCAACTACGCGAATATGTTTTTTTTTTTTTTAGTTCTGTTCGCGGCGCCATAGTCTCAGTTGCTCGAGGCTCAAGCCACTTGATGTATGCACAGTCACGGCCCGGCGCCGCAGTGGCCGCGAGCAATGCAGGCCCGATTGTGCGAGGAATTTCGTAGTGCTCGTCGAGGGCTCGAAGGATGTTTGTATCGTTAGTAAACCTATCGTTATGTGGGACTCTACGATGTGGTAATAGCCAGGTTAAAACTGATCGGCCCGTTCCGGCTAGAAGGAAAAAAGTAGGCGGCGAACTCCCGCAAAAGCCGCAGAAGTACGAGAAAGCGCAATTCTGGTGTGGACTCGAGCGCTTCATCGCGCGACCAATGATGCCAAACTTCGCACAGAAGAATGAGATGCGCACGGTTTGCAAAAACTAAACTCTAC